CTGAAAACAGTCACATGAATTAAAGGGCGTGAACTGATAAAGTTAGTCGTGGAGGTAGTCTTAAACGAAAAGTGGTTTGAATTAAGCCACCAAAGCTCTGGTTTTCTTAAGAGTAAAAAGTAATTTGGGTAATTTAACAATGGGTCACATTTTAATGCTTAAATATGTGTGTTTCAGCTGTTCGAGGTGTGTGTGTATGTGTGCCTGAGGGCAGGCACAATGCAGGAGGGCCGTGTTGGCAACATCGCGACAATAGTGTGAAGTTGCCGCGTATGTTGGCAACATCGCGACAATAGTGTGAAGTTGCCGCGTAAGATTAACAACACGATAGGCGAGTGAAGTTGCTGACTCTGGGGAAGCAAGAAATAAACCGGAGAGTAACACTTTCGTTTCGACTGCCGAACGCGTTGGTGGTCTCAAGACTCGTAAAGCCATAATTATTGTATAGTGATTATAATACTTACCTTGTTCTATTAAATACTTATACGTAGAGTCAGTGTCTAATTACTACCTGTTACCTAAGTAAAATTTAAAGTCTACACTCGTTACCAGAAGCGGTCTTACTATTGCGAGGCTCCGGGCGGCAGGTCTTTGCGAGGTCCTTTGTCCTTCGTGAAAAGTAAAGATGCCAAAGTAGGTCTGCTTGTTTGGTTTAGGTATTTGTCATGTCTGAGGAGAAATGCTATAGATATACAAATAAATAAAATTTGAGTTTTGAAATATTTTACATTGAAATATTTACAAAATTAACAAATACGAGGGCGGCACTGAAAATTTCGGGCATCAAGGAAGTGACACAACATTACTATATAAAAATGTATTTATTGCTTTTCGAAGTATTCTCCGCGAAATTTGACACATTTTTCCATACGATGGAACCAATCATTGAAGCAACCATTCCATTCGGAAGTTGGGATCTCCAAAATGGCCGTTTTGCAGGCGTCCACAGCTTCTTCAGGTGATGAAAATCTCTGTCCACGCAATTTATTCTTTATTTTAGGGAAAGTATAGAAATCATTAGGGCATAGGTCGGGGCTGTACGGCGGATGGTCTAATAATTCTATCTTTTCTTGCTCTAAAAACTCTTTTGTTCTGTGTGCGGTGTGAGAACTCGCATTGTCGTGATGGAGGATGATGCGGCGGTTGCAGTTCTCTTTACGGAGTTCAGAAACGACCTGTGGCAAACAAATGCTAGCATACCATTCTGCATTAACCGTTCTTTGTCTTTCAAGAGGAATAGTCGTAACATGGCCGGTTTTGGAGACAAACGTGGCCACCATTTTTATTTTTTTGCAACACTCCGTGAACGAACAATTTTTGTTGGCTTTAACTCATTTTCGAACACCCAAACTCGTGACTGGTTTTTCGTTTCGGGTTCGTACGCGTATATCCAGGATTCGTCACTTGATACGATGTTGTAAACAGTATTTGAGGATCCTGCGTGGAATCTTTCGAGAGTTCTGACGCACCAAGTAACGCGAGCCGCTTTTTGCTCTTCACAGAGGGAATGCGGTATCCATCGGGAAAACAACTTTTTTACACCTAATTGTTCATGCAAGATTATTTGTATTTGACTCATGCCAATGTCTAAAGTTGCTTGAATTTCGCGATATGTCACATGTCGATCTTCCTCAATCAGCTTACACACAGCATGAACGTTTTCTTGGGTGACTGCAGTTTTATAGGACGACCTTGACGGGGATCATCACTGAGCTTGACACGTCCACGTTGAAATTCAGCAAACCAGCGATAAATTGTGGTTTTGGATGGGGTTTCATCACCAAATGCAGAAATCATCCGGTTAACACACTGTTTTTGTGTTAAACCACTTCGAAATTCGTAATAAATCATCGCTCTTGAATTTTCTCGAGTCAATTCCATTTTCTCAACGACTAAACAAGTTTGACAAAACCTTGTGACAAGACCGAGAATCTTTTTTTAAATAAATAAATGGTATTCGATTTTTAAAACCAAGGAGTTTTCAATTAAAAAGATTTTAATATGACAGGAACAGTGGAAATATTCTATTCCCGATACTTTTAGTGCAGCCTAGGTACAGATATGATAAATATTAAAATTGATATTTGCAGTTTTTCCTAAGATGAATTCTTTAATTAAAGCACAATAATCTAACGAATGAGTTACGTCATTTTGGATTGAAAGAATAGCAAGGGCTCAGAGCCCATCTTGTGTCATCGAACTCCTCATATATGTTTTAATAATTATACTCGTAAGCTTCGAAAAACTCCTTTCCGCAGACGCAACTGTAACAGGTGTGGTAGCAATAATTCTCAGAACTATTTCGATAGTGGGGTAAACTTCATTAATTTTTTTCTATTATGTATTTCAGCACCGAGATAATGTCGTCGTTTCCTTCATACACACGGATGAATATATTCAGTCCTTCGTACAATTTATGTCTCCTTATTCTCCTACCGTCATAGATATTTGCAAATCACTGCATTACTTCAAAATATCACTATTATTAATTTCCTTTAATCTTATAATATTATACATAAAACAAAATATGCTCTCATGAAGTTTAAGAGCCGGAACCTCTGTCGACAATGACATAAAAATATTTTATTTTGAAAATTTCTTCCGCATTCAATTCATGAGCTTCATCGTCCCCTTCGTAATCAAAATGCCTTTTTTTACAACGTCTTCTGACTTCTTTGGATTCTGAATATTGGTAAATGCCATACATACATACATATTTTATACACGTAAAGTCGACAATATAATATTTGATTATAGTTTGAATGATACTACTATTAAAAGAGTAAATAGTATTAGAGTTCTGGGTATAATAATGGATTCAAAATCGTCATTCAATCTACATACTGATTATATATTAAGCAATGCATTTCATAGCTTGGGATTTATTATTAGGATTAGCAAATCCTTTAACAAAATCATAACGCTAAAAACTCTATACTTTTCCTTTGTTCGGTCAATCTTAGATTTTTTTAGTACTGTATGTAGTCCCTGTTATCATATACATAAGAATATAATTGAAAGAGTACAAAAGATATTCCTTAGGTCACTTAACTATCGTAATAATATTACTAACGAATCATATGATGAATCTTTGCGTAGGTATAAATTGTTATCCCTTTGCGATAGACGCAAATTGTGTGATAAATTTTTTTATATAAAATTTTAAATAATTTAATTGACTCTTCTGAACTCTCAAAGGTATCATTTATTGTTCGTGCTCGTCTTCCGGTGCGATCCTCACGTAAATCTCCACTTTTTGTTCCTCTGCGGTTACATAAAAGATATAATCGTAATTCATTCTAATACCGTTCCACTGACATATATATAATAAGCAATTTACTAATATCGACCTTTTTAACTCATCTCTCAATACTTAAAAACAGACGATAAAAAATAATTTAAGTAAGGTTTGCATGTGAGTTGCATTTTTTTAAAATGATATCCTAATTTTAATTATGTTTATGTACTTAGTTTTTTTTTGTTATGTTAATAGTCACTATGTAGTGTTACCATGTAACTTTCTTTTGAATTGTGTTTAACTTTTCAGTACTGTACGTCAATTTTCTAACAGATAAGTTGTTTGTATTTTATTTCCTTTTGTATAGGACTGTTTGTTGTCAAAATAAATAAATAAAAAAGGATATTTATAACTCGACTTTATGTCCAACGCCTGTACAAAAGCTCTACAAACCCTTTTTTATATCCAAAGCCGTTATCGTCACCACTAAATGGCTGGTTTATCACTCTGCTTTTAAATATTATATATTTATATAAGAATCCGTTATATATAGGTTAAAAAAGATAAAGCTTATGGCGATGCCAACACTGTTACTACACATCCAAACTGATTGCGGACCCTTAATGCGCCAACGTAACACTCATCTGGGAAACTATGTACTCCGCCCAGAAGAAGTGAAATTGCTCACGGCTAAGCAACTCCTTCTATTCATTGAAGACATAGGGCTTAGCCGTGAACTATAGCTATAGCAGCGATCACAATAGATCTTTTAGGTCGCAGTGATACTGGTCTCTTTACCTAGACCTGCATATATATATACAACCGCATATAATAATAAAAAAACACTGTTACTACCTCACGTTCAAAGACACTGTACTCCACTGTACACACGTATTGCGAGATTGTACGAATAGGCTGAACTTTAAGCAAATTGTAGAAAAAAGCAAGTTTTTATGAAATAAGGGTGACAAATGAGCACACAGTAACCTGGTAATATGTGGATGCTGTTGCGCATACACATAATATACGTTTATCATCGAATAAGAATCCAAATGAAGATGCAATCACCCATGAGGACTAAGTTTGCAGTTACAAGGGTTTCGGGTTCTTTAATCTTACCATAAGAAACACAGCAGCATTAAGCAGCTAATTTAAGCAGGCATTCTCCGAAGATCCTTCCCTGATTAATCCGATCTATTCGTGCTACAATCATAAAAAAGTAGTAGCATGGCATTAGGCCCTACTACGTAAAATTGTTGTAACTTACTATATCGAGCAGTATCAATAACATTTTTATATTTATTAATAAAATTTGAGTGTTTTGGTAATGTATATAATATACATATTACTTTGACAAATACATCTCCTCTATGAGGTGGTCTATGTTTAGCAGTGGTCTTCAAAGGCTGTAATGTATGGTGTACATACTGGCTGACTTTTTTATTGTCTGGAAAAAAAATAGGGTGTAATAAATGAACGGAATAGAAGCCTATGCCACTGATATTTTACATATATTATATTGTAGATTAAGAAACGACATGCAAATGCGTTGGCATCCTTAAAGACTATGGAATGCCTCATATCCAATAAAAAAGATCCCTGATTCTCTTCATCCATCGTACGGTACACAGCAGAATTGAGCTGCAATTTTGCGCTGGTATTTTGTGAGATGCAGAAGACGGCTTTATAGAATGGACAAAAGGTAAAAGAGTGTTAGAGGTGTAGCTATGCGCGGTGTGCGGTGGGTGCGTGTATCAGTTACCATCGCGATGAGCACGTTGAAGGTGCGGTTGGTCATGATCTCGGAGGGTGGCGGTGCGGAGGGCGGGTCGCGGCGGCGCCAGACGAGGCGCGCCAGCGGCGTCCAGCGCGCCACGGCGGCCGCGCGCCCGCCGCGCTGCAGCTCGCACACTGCCAGCGTGCACGCGCGCCGCTCACCGCCGCCCGCCCAGCGCAGCGTGCCGCCCGCCCCGGCCCACTCCTCCTGCGCCCACCCAACACCACACCATGACTCTCAAAACATCGGTACACAAACGCTGATAAACGAGCACACTGTTCACCTGTTCGTAAATGGATGCCGTAGCCCATAGACATCTACATCTATCCTCGATTAAGAAACAAAAGCAGATGCGTTGTCACCCCTGAGGACTAATACGGAATGCCTCGTTTCCAGTAAAAAAGGGTGTCGGGTAAAATGGTTCTTTTGATGTGAATACGTCTTTAAATTTACTTCAATAGTAGGAAGAAATTCAGAAAACTGACCCTAACAAAATCGAGGGGTTAGGAGTGAGGACTGTGATGCATCGCGCGCGATGGAGCGCTGCCTTTTAAGTCGTTTCGTTACGTACACCCGTATTCACTTAAAATACACGGCCGCATCTACGACACAGTCACACCCCGATTTTTTATAAGGCTTGTTCAATACTACATTGTTAAGGGGTTAAATTAGTTTTCTCACAGTAAAGTGTAAGGGTGGATATATATCTGAACTTTCAAAACATCTATATGCAGAGCACTCAGCTTGTAAAAGGATCTTGTGGCCATTAGATATGAGAAAATTCATCCAAACTTCTTGAATAAAATAAGACTGGTGATAGGGATAACTTATACTAGACATATCTTACTAGGCATACGTATATTCAAAAAATGCAGTGTATTCAAAAGATTGATAAATAATAAAAGGGTCTAGTATACTCTCGACCGAGCCGGTAGCACTGCCTGTGAGTTATATTTCGCAGAGTTATGCAAATGTGTACGCTATAGTATGCAGTCGACGACTCGATCGGATTTGATTCGGTTTGTTGTTAATGTGTACGAATGTGTACAAATCGCAATTCTTTATATTTTCTGTTGCTCAAGGCGAGGAATTGAAATTATTTAAATTTGAAACCCTAATATCCATTCTACCCTTTCTTTTCAAAATTTTAGAATTCTGTGTTTACATCAAATTTCTACTACAATTTCGAAACATAACCTACTGAGTATAATATATCAGTCTGAGTTTCGCCCTGGTCATAGTACCAGTACTGTTTTAATTAATATTAATTGTAATATTAGACAAGATATGAAAGAAAAAAAATAACAGTACCGGTTTTTACTGGTACCGGCTTCGTAAGTACAACCATATTTCGCAATGTAGATTCAAGCTGAATTGACTTACAATCCGGCAGAGGCGCAACTCCAGAATTTTGCTTGCACTTTTTTCCATATTAGATAACCCATGTTCGCCTTCTTATCTAAGAGTAAATTTCACTATCTCTCCTCATCTCATGATAGGGTCCTACGTTCTTCTTCTTACATAAAAATATGTATTCCTGTTCACTTCACCGAGTTCTATGGTAACTCTTTCACATGTTTAGGCTACACGCCTTTGGACTTCCTTGCCCGATGACATCAGAAAAGCAATATGCTTTTAAAAAGTTGGTCCTTGAACATCCATTAAAGACAACGAATTTTACATGACTCATTCATTTAATATGTATTGATAAACAGACGTATATATTTATAGTCATTTGTATGTACTAATAATTTATGTTTTTAAATAAGTATATTTGTATGCATATGCATGTATATATTATATATGTATGGATATTGAATAATTTAATTTTAAATAACAATTCTTTATTATCAACAAAAATATATCACAAAAGTTTTTTGAAGTCTCTGACTCCCAAACTAGACGAGTCTGTATCTTAGGAATCGGCGGCCTCTCCCAGAGTTGTAATACAGGTAACACTAAGAGAATTATGCATGTTTTCATTATTACAGTAGAAACAAAAGAAAAGTACCTAAATAATTTAAAAATAAAAAATTAAATAAAAAAAATAAAACACATATAGAAAAATAATGTAATAAATTTTTCTATATGTGTTTTATTTAATACCAAACATCAGCTATACTCTACATATATTTTATATATATATATATATATATATACACATTTATATATATATATATATATATACATATATATACACACATATACACACACACACACATGAATATTGAAGTTCAGATATAAATTATGCATTAACATAACCGAAACGTTAACATCAATTTTCACATATTAATCACTTCCCTGTTTTTTGTTTATTTATTTATTTTGGAACTATAAATTAAATTAAATTAATAAATTTTCTGTATTATTATAATCTAACGACAAGAACCAATCTCGAACTCTGATTTTACATTCATGTTTTGAAAGGAGATAGAAATTTAGAATTTTGTTAAGTTTGTTATAGAGTACTATAGAGAGATATGCGCTTTGCCGTCTAGCAAAAGCAGTGCGACATCTGAACGGTGCCAGTACGTTGGGTATTCTACGTTTGGTGCAACAGATCTCAGGGTCGTAGGGAGTGCGATCGTGTTGCTTGGTGATCAAATTCTGAACGTATAATTGCCTGACAGACAGCAATTTGCATTCGCTGTATAATAATTTTGTTGAGTATCTATAAGGTTTAAAAGTCATAGTTTTAAGTAAACATCTTTGTGCTCTTTCGAGCTTAATTAAAAAACTTTTGCACGATCCTCCCTAGACACTTATACAATAGCCTATAATTGATTGTGCTAAAGCAAAGTATATTGTGCGCAATAAATCAAAATAAGCAATATGTCATATCATTTAATTCACAAATAAGAGTCATGAAATAAGATCAATGTGTTGGAGCAAGCTGAGTTTTTCATCTAACAAGGCAAGAGCATTTGTCTGTTGACTTTAAATCACAAAAATGTACCTTCAGTTCTATATCCTCAACAGCTGGAGTATTGATAATACGGAACTGTAAGTACGTTGATTTATATACGTTTAGTGTTAGTAAACTGTCCTCAAGCCATTGTGCCGCATATTGGAGACCCCTTTCATCAGTCACCTGAACGTCAGCCCAAGTCTCTCCGTAAAATATTATAGCCGTATCATCGGCATAAGTGAATAATTTGCCATGTATTAATGGCATATGACAAAGTTCATCAATATAAATTAAAAAGAGACTTGGCCCTAGGATACTTCCTTGAGGGACACCAAAAGTGACACTAGCATCAGAACTGATGAAGTTTTTAATCTTAACTCTCTGCACTCGGTGACTTAAAAGCTTTTAAAAATAGATAGGGCCGAATTTCTAATTCCGATATTTTCCAACTTGTGTACAAGAATGGAAATCGAAACGGTATCGAAAGCCTTGGCTAAATCGAGAAAAACTCCCAAACATTTTTTTTGTTGATCTAACTTATTGGTTACAAATTCAGTCAAGCCTTTTACCGCGTCTTCTGTGCTAATACCCGCGCGCTTGATGAAATATTGTATTTGGTCAAGAATTTCACCAAACGGTTATTCAACAGCCTTTCCAATATTTTCGAAAGAGCTGGCAACACAGTGATAGGTCTGTAGTTTTCGACACTGTCTCGAGCTCCACTCTTGTAAACAGGAGTAATGAGAGACCTCTTGAACACACTTGGAAAGCATCCTTGTTCAAAACAAATTTTAAAGAGGTTGGTAAGCGGTACTACAATTATATCTTTTATAATTTTAAGAAACACGGCAGAGATAGAATCCCAGCCAACAGCACAATCATTTTTAGGACTTAACAAAGTAGATTCTACCTCCGTCTCATCTGGTGGATAGAGCACAAAAGAGTTAAGAGATCTGTGATTCGAACTTGTAGCCGTATGTTGACCACGATTTGCAATTATTTTATCTGCTAATTTTCTACAAGATTAGAAAATGTAATACCAAGATTAGAAAATGGATATGTATGGGTAGGTCATATATGTACAGTTTATTTAATAGTAATATATTATGTAGTTAATTGTCATTTGTTTGGTGTTCCTCTATTCTGCATTGCCACACCTACGTCAAATTCTCACCACTTATACTGCAATATGGTTTTGGTTTACTTTTTTGCATTTTGGTGCATTAGCATGCACCATAATGCAATTATCAACAGTGGACAAAAGAGGCAGTCAGTAGGCTGTGATGAAAGATGAATGAATAATTATTTACCTATTTCATACCGAGGGTCTTCGGTTCTCTGTACTCAGTATAAGAAGTACATCAACATTGAGCTGCTATTTTACGCTGGTATTATGTGAGAGGGTGGGTCTACCCCGGTTGAGTACTACAACAATAATATAGCTGTATCGTGACCATACAACGTATAAAGTCAAATTATACTGTCAAAGTCATAATTATGTTGGCTTATTAATGATAAAAAGAATTCCGTGTAAATTAACCGAGCGTAGGAAGTTGAGGAGCGTGTCGGCGTGGAAGGCGGAGCAGCCGGTGCAGGAGGGAGGCGGGGCGGGCGGCAGGCGCAGGTGCTGCAGCGCTTCCGCCGCAGCTGCTACCGCATCCCGCGCCAGCACCAGCTCGCTCGCCGCCGCCGCGTTCACGTCCCACTCGCCATCCTCCTCACCACGGCCCTCTTCGTCACCCTCCTCAACACCCTCACCCTCGCCCTCAGCACTCGTCGCCGCTGGGATGCGTCGCGCGTACGCCTCCCGCCACTGCTCACTCACCTCCTTTATACGCTCTGACTCCGGGTCGAACAGGTGCAAACCTATACAGAATACAATAGAATATATGTAGTAGAGTGGAGTAGAGTGGAGTAAAGTAGAGCAGTATAGGATATAACACATTAGAATATTTTTTTTATTTAATATAGATCACATGTAATTCTTATTGAAAGTAATTTTTTACTTTTACCACTGGTTCGGAAAATATCTCTGTCCTGGGAAGAAACAGGTAGAAAGCCAGTGGGACTTTTTTTTTCAAAGTAAATTTTACAATATGAAAGATTGTACAAACTATTAACATAATATATTTTAGAAACAACTAGAAAGCGACCACCTTATTCATAGGGCAATTAAATGAAGATCGGTACATTTATAAAATTAAAAATGAATGTATTTGAATCGGGATGGGGCAAATTAAAAAAGGCCTCCATTTCTCAAACTTAAAACAAACACTATTCCTAAGTTTTTGTCAGCTAGAAGTGTTCCCTTTTCTCTAAAATCAAAAGTTGATAACGAAATCAAACGTTTATTAGTTTAGCCAGTGGCGAACGCCCGTAGTGCCAGTTCTTACGAGTGATGGTTCACGTCATAAGTCACACTGAACCAGCATTTAGTTTTTCATGATTTACCACTTCCTACTATTAATAAAATATTAGCAAATTTTGAAGATAATGATTTCTTTTTTGAACTAACTAGATTTAAAAGAAGCATATTTACAAGCAGCACTCAATGAACAGTCATAAAAACTAAACACAGCAGTTACAGAGCTTTTATCTGTCCTATGGGAAAGCACGAAACTTGGTCCGTTTCAACAGTTCATTTTACAATCGTTAAACCGTTAAATCATAATAAACAATAATAATAAACACCGTTATCCTTGAAACCAGTGGTTTGGTTTCACTTATAGAACGTAAATTCAATGAAAAATAACAACATTTTTTTTAGTAAAATCTCAATTTTTCCTTAATTCCTCAATTTTTGCCTGTCCTAAGCCGGGATAAAAGTATGAAGGAAAAGTTACATCACAGGTTATGTATACCTATTGTGTTTTTATTGGAATGTTGTGTAGGTGGCCAAGGCGGGCGGTGATCTTTACAGTGATTACGCCACTCAGGCGCATATGATATCCATGAATTTACGGACGGTATCGGACAGAAACTTTTTAAATTTTATTAAAGAAAATAGCTTTTTTTTTAAATTCGGATAATTATTTTTGTATTAAAGCCAACTACCTATGGTTTTAATGACAACGGTGTTTACACTTACACCTCGTATAGCAGAAGCTGATCTTAAATAAAAATAAAATAAATGTAAGTTTTTCAAACACTATTTAAAGGTGTTTCCTTGTGATGTTTCAAAAGAAGGTATTAAAGTAATTAAAAATAATATAAAACCCTTATTGAAATTACCTTTACCTAATAATTTAAAGATGCAACGTACATTTTTAGAAAACAGTTTATTATTATAACCGGTTCTTAAAAATATAATAAAACCCTTGTATGACTGTCTTAAGAATGATTATTTATTTCGTATATGGAATGTGATGTAGCATTTAAGAAAATTAAGGAATAGTTGGGTAAGGTCGAAGATTTTACCACTTTTTGAAGTAAAAATATTTTCATATTTTGATTGCTTATAAAAAACAATATAGGGGGTAAATTGTAATGAAGGTATTTTAATAGGGGATAAGTCGCTCGCGTCCGTAGGCTATGACCACCTATTCCTAGGCCCACCCTACACGTGTCCCCCGGGTGGTGCTAAATGAGCGACAAGCCAATACCACAGACTCGGCTCCACGCCGTGGTAGCGGCGTAAAACATACTACCCAATATTTTCGCACCATGAGGAACTATATAAAAGAAATGGCCCCGAGTTCCTGGCGCCCCTTTAATGGGGCAGGGGTGCGAAGAATCTCCGGGAGGAAAACCGGCGACGAGGTTCGCCACCCGTCACGTTCTGTCTCCCGGCTCTCCGCGAAAAGTGGATTGCAAAGGCCCGTCTGGCTACGTTGGATGTATGTGGGGCAATGAATGATAAAATGGATGAAGTATGCGATATGATGTATGATAGAGGAATAGATGTGTTATGTGTAAATGAGACGAAAAGGAAGGGGAAGGATGTCACTACACATGACATGTATACCGCATACTGGTCAGGTGTAGACGAGATCGAGCAGGCATGCCAGGGGGGTAGGTATCATCCTTTCAGAAAGAATGGGCCAATGTGTGAAAGAGTATGAATGTGTAAGCCCAAGACTTCTATGGATACGAATGAAAGTGGGCTTAAAGAAGTTGTTTGTGTTAGGGGTCTACGCCCCAGACATGTCTAAGCCCACTTATATCCGAGAGCAGTTTTGGGAAATGGTAAGGATGGTGTTAATGAAGTGTAAGGGAAATGAAAATATTATTATGCTAGGAGATTTTAATGGAAGGGTTGGGGTGAGGAGGCTTGGTTATGAAAGGATATTGGGAACGTTTGGTGATGAAAGTATAAATGAGAATGGTGAAAGTCTCCTCACCGTATGTATGGAAAAGAATCTTTTTGTGACGAACATTTGCTTTCGCCACAAGAGGATTCACATGTATACTTGGGAAAGAGGTGACGATAGAAGCATGATAAATTTCATAATTGTGGATGAAAGATTGAGGGACGCAGTGGTAGATACAAAGGTTTACCGGGGTTCTAACGTAGGAACGGATCATTATTTGGTTTTATGCCGAATTAATGGTCTATTCAGGCGTTGGCGCCATCGATCATCTGGGTCTACCACTGCGTTACAGCGTATTAGAACAGAAAGGTTACAAGATGAAGGTGAGAGAAACAAGTTCAAATGTAGACTGAAAGAAAATATAAGTGGTTTGGATAAATTATGTATGAAGGAGTTAGACTTGGAGAATGTATGGCAAAATGTAAAGAAAGGTTTAGTGGATGCAGCTATAAGTATGTGGTGTTAGTAAGAATGTGAATGGTGAAACCGAAGAATGAAAGGAAAATTAATACGTTATGGTGGGATGATAAGATACGTATGGAAGTTGAAGCAAAGAAGAGAGCATGGCTAGATTTACTAGCAACAAAGGCTGGTAATTCTAGCGATACGAATGATGATATTGAAAGAAAGAAGGCAGTCTTTAAACATCTTAATAAGAGAGTAAAAGAAGTAGTTGAAAAAAAAAAGCAAGAAAGAACGGATAAGAATGATAGAAGAATATCGGATAACTTCCAGGCAAATATTAAAATGTTTTGGAAACTTGTAAGAACTGCCAGGGGACATTCAAAACAGCCTATGATGAATGTTATAAGAGACGAGAATGGCTATATTCTGAATGATAAAGTTTTGAGTTTAGAGAGATGGAAGGAATATTTTGAAAGCGTGTTTATGAGTGAGGAGACAACGTGTGTACTAAGTGAAGTAGAAACTCCGAAAGAAGAGGAAAGAGGTAGCGAGATAAGTATAGATGAAATAATGAAAGCAATGAAAAGCATGAAAGCAGGTAAAGCTGCCGGATATGATAGAGGAAGTGGTGGCAGGCCTGCTGCATACCTTATTTAATTTATGCTGGGAACTGAAGCGGGTACCGGTAGACTGGTGCAAAGCCGTGATAGTCCCAGTATATAAAGGAAAAGGGTCGCAGCGGGACTGTAAAAAATACCGTGGCATCAGCCTTCTTAGCATTGTGGGAAAACTGTATGCTAAGGTACTGATTGAAAGGGTCATGAAAGAAACTGTTGGAAAAATTTGGAATGTGCAAGCGGGATTCAGAAAGGGAATGGGATGTACAGATCAAGTTTTTTCCATGCGCATGATCGCGGACAAGTTTTTGGCCAAAAACCAAAAGGTTTTTTGTGCGTTCATGGACTTGGAAAAGGCCTATGACAGAGTGGATAGGGATGTGCTATGGCAAACACTGAACTCATTTGGGTTGAGCGCTGGCTTGATACAGGCATTGGAGTCTCTTTATAGGGACTCTAGTGCTTGTGTTAGGATCAACGGGGTCTACTCGGACTGGTTTGACATCCATAAAGGTGTCAGACAGGGCTGTGTGGCTTCCCCGTGGCTGTTCAACCTATTTATGGACAGTTGTTTGCAGTATTTGAAAGTTGAAGAATCATCATCATCATCATCATCATCATTATAGCCCTTCACAAGTCCACTGCTGAACATAGGCCTCCCCCAAGTAATGCCACAAAGCACGGTCCTGAGCCACCTGTATCCATCGACTTCCTGCATGTCTTACCAGGTCGTCACTCCATCTAGTGGGAGGTCGCCCTACACTACGCCTACTGGTACGAGGCTGCCACTCGAGAACCTTTCTTCCCCATCGGTTATCGGTTCTTCGAGCTATATGGCCGGCCCATTGCCACTTCAGCTTACTAATCCGTTGGGCTATGTCGGTCACTCTGGTTTTACTGCGGATATCCTCATTTCTGAGTCTATCACGCAGTGAAACTCCGAGCATACCCCTCTCCATAGCTCGCTGAGCGACCTTGAGCATCCTCATACGGCCAGCGGTGAAGGACCACGTCTCAGATCCGTAAGTCATCACTGGCAACACGCACTGGTTATACACTTTAGTTTTCAGAGATTGAGGTATACCTGACGAGAAGATGTGTCGTAATTTCCCGAACGCTGCCCAGCCGAGTTGAATCCGTCGATTGACCTCTCGGTCGAAGTTGGACTTACCTAGTCGGACTATTTGTCCCAGGTAAATGTACTCGTCAACAACTTCGAGCATAGTGCTCCCAACAACTACCGGCATAGGGCATAGGCATCGAGTCTGCGTGCGAGACGATTCGTAATGACTCTCGAAAACAGCACGTAGACGCGGCTCAGAAGGGATCTATCTGTAGTTCTTCAAGACAGCGTTGTCGCCTTTCTTACAGAACAAGACCACCGCGCTTCTGCTCCACGCCTCCGAAGTAGTGCCACCATGGAGGACAGAATTGAAGAGCTTCTGAAGGACTTCAAGTACCGGTATTCCACCCGCTTTCAGAAGCTCCGCTGTAATTCCATCCTCGCCCGGGGCCTTGCCGTTTTTAAGGTGGT